ACCTGGAGGCCTCCGTTCGCTAGCCGCTGGAAGAGGGGGGCAACTTCGGGATCATATCTAATCGAAGCTCCCCTCATGCATTGGGGCTCGAAAGTTTCGTTCTTGTTTGCCCTGCAGGGCAAAGGGGCACGCCTGGGTGTACGAGTACGGGTCGAGAGTGCAGTCCAACATAGCGGGTGCGTCTCATTGTTCTCTCACGGCCAATGCCACCTCTGATTAGGGAGGACACTGCGTGAGAAGTCACCACCAGCCCATGCACAACAAGGCTTGACGGAAATGGACAGCCGTAGGGGCGGGCGGTAGGCTCTCACTGCCAGTATGCCGCCCGAATACTCTTCGCATCAGAGGCCAGCACGTTGAAATTTCGATAATGGGCGTTCTGTTTAAGCGTGTTGTTAGATCATATTTATTGTCTTGCGTGCCTTCATAGTATGAGTATGATCTCTAACATCATGTGGCTTATGACCTGTTACATTATTAAAAAAAAAACACCTCGATTGTATTATTTCTGTACGTATATCGCCATTCATTGCAAATAGCGCTAGGTCATGTTTCTTTTTCTTTATTTCTGTGCAGAGTTTCTGGTTTCTAGTGTATAATTTCTTAATGATAGTCGCAACCATGTTGCACAGTGCTTGCGTGGTAGGGTCCATTGTCGGGTCGTTAATTCTGCCATTAGTGGTACCGTCCCTCGACATCTATTGTGTTGAAAATAAATAATTCAGTTCAATTCAATTCTGAAAATAAGCGGGTGAGGCTGGTGAATAGTGGTGGTGGTCAAAATTTTTTGAGTCACTGGATGTATTCTGCGCGGTAAAGAGGTCTCAGTCCAGGGCTCCACTTGCAGCAGCTGCTCTGCGGGCCCAGTCGATCAGACTCGGCTGATTTTCCAGGTTCTCACCGACCAGCAGCTCTTCTCATTGCTCCGCTGTGGAACTCTGTTCGTGCTGAGGTTGTAACTGGCCTGACATTCCCACGTGATATGGTACAGGGTAGCTTTAGCTTAGCACCACGTACTGTGAGAAGCGTATTCTGAGGGATGTATTTTACTCAGGGTGTGCAAATTTGGAAATGTGTCGGTTTAGTTTGCCTCCAGATGAGCGATTCCTCTTTGTTTAGCGTTTGGTGTGGTAGGGTTTAAGCTTACCTAACTCCTATGTAATGGTTTAGGATGGCCAACCATTCGCAAGGGACAGGAGCGAGAACCTCAGAGGTGGAGTCGGAAGGTTTGCATATTATCAACTCTCTCCACCTTCTCTGCATAGGATGCCGTGCAGTCAGCTTGGAGGTAGAGCTCCTGCAACGCCTGGATGTACTCGATAAGAGATTAGTCCGGATGCTGTGGTCGGGACTCTAGCTCACGATGCAGGTGGCGCTCGTAGTCAGGAGGAAGGAATTGGTTTGGAAAAGCGCTCTAAACTTCTCCATCAACCGAGCTTGTAGGCTGACAAGTCGCTATTACCGCACCGCCTAGGCTGTCAGCGCAACAGGCATGCATGCCTAGCATTACGCTGTTGTTCAGCCACATGGCCTGCTGAAAGCGGCGCAGCTCCTGAGGAGGTGCTTCATGACACTCATACGATCCGGATTAACTGCTGTACTGAAGAAGAGGTGCCCTAAGGCTACTCGGTGCGCTTGGATGAGGAGACTCGGGGTCTCCCTTTAAAGCACAAGGCTGCGAGCTCACCACTTTTAATAGCAGGTTTAGGAGCTGCACAGCAGTTGCATGCAGCAGAGATTGCTCTGACGCAGGCGTGACTGTGGCAGGGTCGTGCGCCTGTTGTCCTGCATGTCCGTCCTACCGAAAAGGGCCAAAAAATGGCATGAAGGAGTGTAGGGTGGTTGCCGCTCTGACTGGTGCACTGAGGCCTCGTGATAGGCAAACGGATCGACCACAGAGCATGGTGGCTCACGACCGTCGAAAGTGCCATCTACCCAAGTCTCAGGCATGCAAGCTTCAGCAACTGTGGCGACATCGACTAAGTGAGCTGGCTCGTGGGCAACTTGGTCAAACTTTTGCGTCCCTGATGTTGGGTTAGTGGGGACGTGCACACTGATGCCTACTGTAAAGACTGGAATATAGGTTGGATCGAAATATAGGTCAACCCCCCAACTTTGCATCTTCGAAGAAAGGATTTTTAAACTTTGCAAGTTGTTAGGGCACACCCTTTCCTCGATAAATACGCAACACAACCAGCTGTACTGTAATGACATTTCTTTTTATTTGGACACTAATCTTGTGTAGTTGAACGCCAGAAGGCCTCAAAGGTGCTGTCACTCAGACTCGTGCAAACTAGAGTCCAACGACGTCTGTTTCTCACTAGTAATTTCCCATAGTGCATCGTCCTCCTGTTCCATCCAGTGTGTTATTGATGCAGCATTCGCAGAAAAACTTGCGCGCCATCTCTTCCGGGAGAGATTGCCATGCTGACGACACCCAGCCACAAACATTCGTGAGCGGTGTATGTCGTAGGCGGCTAGCGGTGGTCTTGGGATTGTCGCCCAGCATCCACTCATTGTAGAATTCGCGCACAGCTATCTTTGAAGGGTTTATTTAGCACTACGTTCAGTGGCTGGAGGATTGATGTTAGTCCCCCAGTGATCGTAAGTCTGTCTTACCATAGGACGGGAATCCCTTTACATTGGCTGTGAGGTGGCCTTGAAGTCGAGCACCAGCATGCTTGGTCACTGAGAAAGTGCATCCGAGTTGCTGATTACACATAAGCCGGATCCCCTCAAGGATGAGGGACTCATTCATGAACTCTTCCTTGTTCACTCTTACAATAACATCCCGGGGAAAGCCTTCTTCAGTAGCCCTTTTCTCCTGAAAATGATATAAGGGGGCAGCTTCTTTTCATCGGTTGCGCACGCAAGCATCACTGTAAATCGGGAATGCTCGTTGCTCGTTGTCAAGAGCTTCACTTGCTTGGATCCTTTAGCAGTCACAGTCTGGTTCAAAAGCATATCAAACCAGATGGGATTTTCGTCAGCGTTGCCCTTGTGTCCCATCATGTAACAATGCTGTCGGCGAAGCCTTATGATGAAGCTCTGATACTCAACCAGCTTGTGATCAGAATCTGGGCAGTTTTTTGGCACAAGGAAAGTACGCCGTCTCAGCGCAAAGCCTTTCCGCTTCATAAATTGGCACACCCACGATGGCGAACCCTTGAATTGTGCCCTCATGAGCCCAGAGTCAGCCGCTATCTCAAGAGCTTTCAGGTGGATGCACTTCGCTGGCACGAGAAGTGACCTTGCACGCAGCTTCCGGAGGAATTCAGCGAGTAGCAATTCTAGTTCTTGATGCGCTGCAGTTCGTCCATAAATCGAAGTTCTTTTTATTTTTGCTTGCTGTAGAGTGTCATGCGCTGCTTTTGGCTCCTGCAGTATAGGACGCTTCTCTGATGCATAGAATTTCCTTTGTGATGTCAGGTTGCCGTGCACTTTGACATACTCGATAACTTTTTTTTAAAGCCTATCATAAACTGCATCGACTACCACTAATTTCTCAAAGAAATAGAAAAAAAAACACCAGACTGACAAGATAACCAAAGCAAAATGGCGTTGCAAAATGGCGTTGTAAAATGGCACTGCAGGCCTTTCCGAACGGCACCGCTGCTGATGTTCATTATGACAATAGAGGCCTGTCACTTCAGCTGCCGACTGTTTCGAAACTTACAAGTTTTTTTGGCACATAAAACTGGTATATAAAACAAAGGTATATAAAATAAAGACTGGTATATAAAGCAAAGACTGGTATATGGTAAACAAAGACTGGTAAAACAGACTGGTAAAACAGACTGGTAAAACAGACTGGTATAAACAAAGACTGGTATATAAAACAAAGACTGGTATATAAAACAAAGGTCAACTTTTTATCACTTTTTTGTAGATAAATTTGACCTAAATTCCCGTTTTTATGATAAATGGCCTCCGAAAATTGGCTTGGGTGCATTGGGGGGCAGCAGTTAACTGCTCTGCTGACGAGGAAAGGCCAGCAAGCTGAAACGATGCATAGGAATGGTCAGTAAGCATGTGAATCTCAATCGGCTGAGAAAACCTGCAACCGACTTGGCTGGGATTGTAGTCTACATTCAGGCGGTTAGCATCACCATAGGGTCTCTCAGAGAAGGGCCAGCTTACGCGCTAGCTGGAGAATGAGCTGCCAAAAGGGAAGGGCATTCTCGATTCCCACAGTCTAGCAGGGTTAGTGAGAACAACCACCTTTATGGTTGCCAGAATTGTGGTGTAATAAATATTTGTAGTGAGAACAACCACCTTTATGGTTGCCAGAATTGTGGTTTAGTAAAGATTTGTTCACTGCAAGCATATAATCAGGTCGGCGAAGCTTAGTGAGCTGTGTTGGAGCTTCAAATTAGCACTGGCAATTCGCCTTTTCTATGATGCTGTAGTGCATGTGTCTTTCCCTTATGGGAAGGTATACAAAACGCCTCCTGATCTTGAAGGCCTTCATTCTAGCAGTGCCAGTACTCCCGGCCCTTAGGAAAACACCAGAAGGCAGCGCAGGAAAATGGAAAAGGCTGATTTTCATAGAATATTTCATTTTGTTGGTTCTGGAGTCGTTTTCTCGGGAAGCCAAAAATGTCTGCTGCTAGAACATAAAAAAAAACCTGCTGCTATTTTTAAAAACTTCATGCGTTACATGGACTGTTTCTAAGGCCATGTTTGTTCATGTAAACAGACAATAACAAAACCACAAGGAAAAGATGTGACTTTGATGAACTTTACACACAATCAATAGATGGATAAAAAAAAAGGAATTTTGGTGATTCTCTGAAAAAGATGTGGCCTAGTAATACTAATCCAACTCCAACAAACATTACTTAGAAATGAAGGTATTCTGTAGACTAAGCCAAGAATACCATTTTTGAACTTTAATGAACTTAAACTTAAACTCGTTTTTAGCTTAATGTATTTTATTTGTTACTGTGTGTGAAAGTATTTCTAATGATTTCAGCCATTTCTCTCTTTATTTGTCACAGTACCGTTTCTATGGACGTCAGGTGGTGAAGGCTTGCGTTGACAGTGGCACCCATCACATTGATGTCAGTGGAGAACCTCAGGTAAGCCGTTTTTTTTTTAAATATTTTTGTTGGTGCCACATTGTTTGGTGGTCCTAGAACTTGTTTTTTTTTTTCTGCTTATTCGGTCTACACTAGAATAAGTATGCAAAGTTGTGATTGATTGGGTGTAAAATAAATATTTTGAGGACACAAGAATGATGTAGCCACTTTATAGACACTGGAAATATATAACTGCAAAATGTCTTGGTATTGCCTGAAGAGGGAACGCAGCAGCCTAGCTTTTCGCAAAACTTTTTCTCTTGCCAGATTAGTTGTCCGTATGAGGGCAAAGGCCAAAATGCCTTTGGTTGGCAAAAAAATGCTTTGAATTTAGAGATGCTTTAAATTTGGTTGGCAAAAAAATGCTTTGAATTTAGAGATGCTTTAAATTTGTAAGCATGCAGGTCGACATGCCTCTTCTGCGCGACACAGTCGTGCAGAAAAATAAAAAGGAAAGATAGTGTCCAGTGTATGTTGAGGTGAGCAAGCGTAGAGCAGCTAGAAAGAGCTGTAGCCTGTCGTTTTGTGTTTCGCCGTGTTGAAGGCGTACGTCATGAACAGTAATACTTCATTCGAATTCGTGTGATCAGAGACAATTATGGGTGATTTTAGATTACCGGGTGCTTATTAGCGTAATAAAATGTCGGGTTTTTTAAATCACTCACATGCAGAACTAATGCTAGAATAATGGTTAATTATAGCCTTGTCCAAGTAGTCGATAGTCCAACATGAATACAGGACCTATTGTCAGTGAACTCTAGACTTAATATTCTTGTCAGATAAAACTTTCAGGCATGACGTCACTGTTGAACTGGGGATATCGAGACCACAAATCAGTAGTAGCTGTTCTCAGTGTGATGATTAAAACGCTAAACAAAGCTTGGACTTGCGTCCGTGTACGAGTTTCAACGCACTGATGACACGTAAATTTCGGATGCCCTGGAACTAGGTTTCAACATGCTTCCACGTGATAAAGACGTCAACATAATGTCGCAGTACTTTAAATCTCTTGTATCAGACTGCTTATCGCACATCGTTTTGAGGAAAGTAAAACTAGTTGAGCGGCAATACCAGACAGTAACCCGCAATATTATTCATTTAAAGCGCTGACTGCGACGTGCACGCAAACAGATTCCTCGCATAGCTGTAACGATTTCGTACCTTAGAGCGCAAATACGGAAAGAATTGAAAGATGCACGAGCTCGTTTCTTTTCAACTACGCTGTTTGATTACATGGTCTATAATTTTAAAACGTTTTGAAGGTACTTGTCTTCTTCGAAATCAAAATAGAAAGTGTAATAGTCAATGGGGCATTTCTTCGAAATCAAAATAGAAAGTGTAATAGTCAATGGGGCAGTTTGTAGTGAACCAGTGAGGACGACTGAGGCATTTAACGACTACTTTGTCACTGTGTTTTCCACCAAGCGTGAATGTCCTGTTGAAGATACCTAAGTAAACGAGGAACGTACTAGTGATATAATAATTTCTAAAGAAGGAATGGTAGCGCTCTTGCTTAATCTAGATGTGAGGAAAAGTTCTGGTCCCGATAAAATACTGAATGCCTTTGGAAAATGCTACTGTGAATGGGTTTCTAATTTTTTAGTTGAAGTATTTACTGCATCTCTTGAAAGGGGCATCTTACCGGATGACTGGTTGATAGGCCGCATTGTCCCGATCTTTAAAGCTGGAGACAAACTAAAAGTAAATAATTACCATCCCATCTCTTTAACATGTACTTCATGTAAGCTATTTAAACATATCATTAGCAAATATTTGGTCCAGTATGCAGAACAAAATCTTTTTATTCCAAGCAATATGGTTTTTGCAAACGTTTATCAACAGTTACACAACTCTTTGAGACAACACCATATTTCACAAATGCTATAAACCAGAAAGAACAAGTTTATGTTATTGCCTTAGAATTCTCTAAGGCATTTGATGAATTCTGCCACATGAAATTAATATGGAAACTGAAAACGTATGGTATCTGCCCCATGGTCATAAAATGAAATGGGGGGGGGTGTATTTGTATAATAGACACCAATTTGTGGACATCACTGACGAGTACTCGACTTGCTTGCCTGTCACCTCTGGAGTGCCCCAAGGTTCTAGTGATAGGACCCCTGTTATTCTTGCTTTATGTCAATGATATTGCTGCTAATGTGGATCCACAGGTTGAAGTTCGCCTCTTTGCAGATGACTGTTTGTTATTTTGTCGTGTTAAGAGTACCCATGAGCAAGCATTGTTAAATGAATCATTAAACAAAGTTTACGATTTGTGTGTAGCATATGACATGCAAATTAACTTAGAAAAATCTATCTGCATGAGTATCACAACAAAGCTGTCACCGTCACGATTTACTTACAAAATCGAGAGTACGGAAATTCAGCGAGGAATGAAGATGAAGTACTGAGGTGTTACTATCACGCATAACTTAAGTAGGAGTGAGCATGTTGCCAACATTTGTGGATCAGCTCAGCGAAAGCTGGGAATACTGCGACACAAATTAAAACAGGCATCTTCTGATGTAAAGCTGTTAAGAATGTCCCGCATTAGGAAAGCCAGGCGACAGAGAAGCGATAAGGCGGCCGAAGTTATCGGCTTCACACTCTATTGTAGGTAGTGGCATTCTGGAAAGGCAATCCACATCAGCGCTGTTGACGGCCACTGCTATATGAAATGGTGAAGAAATCATCTTGTAAACGAAGGGCCCATCATGCGAGGTGGCCAGATGGGTCACGAAGATTGAGCAGCTAACTCAGAGAATTGTGATCTGTGATGTAGTGAACAGGTGATCATAGATCTATGAATGAAACCATTGCACGGCGAAGACTACCGCTAAGCACTCCTGTTCGGTCACTGCATAGTTGCGTTAAGGCTTGCTTAAAGAACGACTTGCGCACGCCAAAATGGGCTCCTTGTTACCAGAGCACTGAACGAGAACGGCACCAATATCGATGCCACAAGCACTGTGTGAATTTGTGTGGGAGACGAAGGATTGAAGAGCCTGTGAGCGAACGACATAGAGGGAAAAGGAAGAAAAACTTCTAATCGCTAGAAAGAAGGCTGGACACAAGCTGCGCATTCCATTGCTCTCCGCTCTTCACCTCGGAACTCCGCGGCGACATCCAGAGTTGCTTCACCTTCTTCTCATAACCATTGGGTCTGGAACTGGCACTCACATCCCACCCCTCCTAAATGTCCAAGTTTACTTGGAAAAATAAAAAAAAATCTAATCTGGCATCCCACCTCCCTTTAGAAGTCCAAGTCCACTTGGAAAAGGAGTAAAATCACAGCATATGCACGGAGGGAGTGATGATGAGTGGGGTGAAGCGTCCGTCAGCTCGTCCCATTTGTTCTTGCTTCTGTTCGTCTGTGTGACCATCCGTGTGTTCGTCCATGAGTCCGTCCATCCGTCTCTTCGTCTGTTCATGTATCCATACGTCCACACGTCCGTCCGTCTGCTAGTCTGTCTGTCCATATTTCTGTGCATCCGTCCGTGTGTCCATTTAGTGAACACTACAAGTACCGCCATCTCTCATCTAGCATCCCCTGTGGCACATACCCCTAAGCGCTTCACGCTTTTCATGTTGCACTTGGAGCAGCTACAGTGTCTGTTTTGTCTTCATTCTCAGACGACGAATAGTCCGTGGCAAGTTCCGTGCCGTACGCTTCACTAAGATGCAGTACAAGCAGATTTCTGTACTAGTGCTGTAAGAGCTGGCTCGTGAACAGAGATTTGCAAAGGGGTAGCATTTACGGAACAGGAGTTTTCCGTAGCGGCGATGAACATGGCACTTCTGAAAGCAATGGGCTGAAAGAACTTGTCAGGAGTGGGCTTGGGGGACATGGTGTTTGGAGATGAACTAGAGCAGCTTTGTTGAGCTGGCTTTGCAGGGGTTCGTTCCCGTGAGGCTAATACTGGACTTGATGAGGCTCTGCTGTTGATCGCGGGGGGTCAAAACGTGACAATGCAGAGGAAAAAATTACTGCATTTGACATCTGTGGCAATAGTTTTTTGCACTGCACAAAACATTGGTAGATGGTTGACAGATCACAGGGTACCTTTGGAAGTTTAAAGTGGAGTTCAGCTTGAGCTGCGTAAAACCAGTCTTCGCCTAGAATAAGGGGAAGTGCGTTTCATTCTAGGATGGCTGCTTTGACAATTGCAGATAGTGGTGCAATGGTAATTTTTGTAAAGGCAGATCCTTCAGGCAAATGAAGTTTCTGCAGACGACGAGCAAAGGTGGTTTGGTTCATTGCTCAATTTTAAGGTTTGATGCTGGGCTTGCTGTAAGAATGGTGAAATTCGGTCTACTGTCCGGAAAGTCACTGATATTTCCCGTTTTATTGACTTGGGCAGTAACCATGACGCATCGGGATTTCAATCCATGCACTATGTTGTCCACGCGGCCAACACACTCTGTTGGTGCTTTGGGGACTGTCTGCTTGTCGTTAGAAGGGTGCTTTGGAGCAGTACACTTACTTGAAAGGTGACCCTTCTGTTCGCAGTCGTAACAAGTAGCGTCTCTCTGGTCTTGACCTCTTCTGTATCCTGGGGCACCATACTGGCTGAAATCGCTTCATACCTTGACTCTTGGTCATCAGGCTGGGAATACTATGAGGCTACATCATAAGTGCGGTGTACTGTAGGATTCTGTGGGGTGTTCACAATACTGTCAGTTCTAGTAGTAGCGCTCTGAAACTTAAGTCGTCTTGACTGCGCTGCGAATTGCTTTGTCGAATGCGGAGATCTGATCGGGCGCGTGTAGTCGAGTGTTTTATCCACTTACGTCGCAATTTTAGAAAATTGTCCACTGTACGGGTTCATTGAACAGCGATGGATGTGGCTACCTGTATTAAGTATTAAGCTGCCCAGATCCCATTGCTTGTCAGTAATAGGATCCGGACAGCAAGACACGACTTTGAGTTTTGCAAAAGCATACTCCTGCTGGCTCTCTCCAGCTTTTTGTGTGAGGGTTGTGACCTTTTGTTGCCA